TTTTAAAAAGGACTCATCCAAAGATCTGGATAATAAATTATTTGCGTTTCCTAAGAAACTTTTTTTTTTTCCTTTTTTCTTTCTTATTTGCCTTATTAAGCTGTCTGAAGCTTTTGACAGAAGTAAGCCGTTCGCCTAGATTGTACTCGTCTCTCCAACGCAGAAATGCTATTAAAGGAGGAGGAAGGGAACCCAAAAGAAGGAGGAGAAGGAAAGCCCCCATCCCGACTCGAGAAGCCCTAATTCTTCCCCGTGCCACGAGTGCCGCCGGCTGCCACCCTGGGGATGGCCGGGAGGAGGAGGAGGAGGAGGAAGAGGAATGCTGCATAACACTTGAATTGCTTGTAAACGCTGAGGATGGGTCTCCAAGGCTGACAGTGATGCGGAGAGGGAGGGAAAAGCGACAGCCTCGGCCCTTCCTCGCTCAGCCGCTGCCCCGGGATGGATGTGCCTCCCCCCGCCGTCGGGGAAGGGTCCTCCCCTTCGTCCTCCCGTCCCGCCAGCCGCGGGGAGCATCATCAGCAGTCGCCCTCCGTGGCCATGACCACCAGCATCTCGCTCTTGCCCATCTCTTCTAAGGCACTGGCCAGGGTGTTGAGATCGCCGTCGTCTTGGTGCTCGGCTTCCCATAAGTCCAGGAGCACCCCGGTGGGGCTGGCTTTGGTGGCAAAGTAGTTCAGATACCTGCGAAGGGGAAGCAGAGAGGAGGTCCGGGTTGGCGCGGCGCCCTTCGGGGATGGAAGGATGGAAGATGCTGGAGCAGCAAACCTGTTTGCAATGCGAACCCCGGGAGATGCCACAACGCAAATGCCAAGGCCCTTGAGACATCATCTTCAATTTTTGATACAGGCATCCACGCAAAAGCAATGCAAGCTTTGGTTTGCTGAAATTAGCCTCCCTTCCTTCGGTCCTCGGAGGTGAACCCGGACAGGAACAGCCCAGGCACGGACCCAGACAAATAAGGGCTAGTTCAAAGTGACAAGAGACCCGGGACCGTGGCACAGACAGATGCATCGACATAGATGGGTATAGCTGTGCATAGCTGTATCCATATTTATGGATGGGCCTGTGCAGCTGGACATCGCCTAGTTGGATGCACTGCAGCAGGGAGCGGAGCAAAGCCCCCCTGCCCGGGGCGCAGGAGGGGAAAGCAAAGCACGGGGAGACCCACCGGTCCATGGAAAGCTTCTGGGCAAGAAGTCTCCAGTCGTTTCCCCTGGAGTTGGGGGCATCCAGGCTGTTACAGATCTTCTGCCGGATGGAGAGGGGGATTTTGAAGGCGTAGGGCCCCAGCTGGGTGGTGGTGGTGGCACCGCTGTGGTGGGAGCGGAGGGTGTCGAAGGAGCTGGCGTGCTGCAAGGGGAAGGATGGGGCGAGACGTTGCAGCGCGGAGCGGCTCCCCAGCACGTCCCCTTGCTGCCTCCCCGTCTCCCCACCGCTCACCTCTCCCAGCGCGATGTGGAGCTGGAAGATCTGCCCTTCCCCTTCCACCTGCCGGACGCAGATCTTGCAGGTGAGCTCGGTGGAGGCCTGGCTGTACCTCTCCAGCGTGAAGGTGCAGTGCAGGGCGCGCTGGCTGCCGCTCCAGATGTGATAGAAGGGGATTTCCTGCAGGCCGCCAAAGCACGGGCTTAGCAGAGGCTCCAGCGGCTCCCTTGGGAGCTCCCACCTCCTCCGGCCACCCCGCAGGGATGAGACGGGACAGGAGGACCCCACAGACAGCATCCCACCAGGAAGGACCATGTGAAAAACAGTCCCCCTTCCTCCTCCGTCCCTTTGCCATGCTCCCGGAGACAAGTGCGGGGGAATCACAAGCCGGTGCTGCCTGGCTGAAGATGGTGTCCCCGGTCTGGGACGCCGGCTGCCCGCGCCTCGGCCCCTCACCTGGTATTTGGCCAGCAGCTTGCTCCTCCACAGCGCGTGGGGGATGTCGTGGATGGAGAGAC